TGATGGAACATTGCAGCTAAAAATACCACCTAAAAATCCAACTTTCTTTGAAAAACAACAACAACAAAAAAAAAAAACAAAAACTGATAGATAATATAATTTTTACTTGTGATTTATAAAAAGAGAAAAGAACTCACAGAGACAAAAGTCCAAGCTACGTCACTGCTGAAACACCTCAAATGTCAAGTCTATATACAGTATGGTCACAGTGTGAATTAGTCACGGTTTCCAAAGGTTTGGTTTGGCGGGCCAGATTCAGCCTGTGAGCCGCCAGTTGATGACTACTGCCATAGATAACTTGGGTTATCTCTTTATATAACATTATGAGAGGACCATCACTTAGGTTTACGGAATGAAAACTCTTTACACAGTCTACAGTTGGGACACCAAAATGATTTGATTCTTATTGGACTGACAGCTGTCAATCAAACATCAACTCTCCAACATCCGTCTTCTTTCTGTGTCAATTCAAATGTACATCCATCCATGTCAGGCTCAGAGGCTGGGGCTAATCTGGGTATCATCAGGTGAGGACAGGTGCATCGTGGGAAGTTTTACCTGTCCATCACAGGGTCACATGAACACTCTCTCACACACACAGAGAACGTGCTAAGTCATCAGTTACCACCGAGGCTCGGATCGTTACGCCTCGATTGGCTCCAAGATAAGATGCGAGGTAGACGTCGGCCAATCAGCTGCCATCAGCTCCGCCTCTTGACTTCTTACGTCAACCTGCTAATCTTTCTGTAGAGCAGAGGACGTTACACCTCCACGGCCCCGTGGTGTGGCGGCTCATTTCAGCTCCGGTCCTGGATAATCTTGTGTCACCCAAATTACAGCAGCAACAGGAAGTGGTGGTGCCTGACTGCGTGTCTGTGGAGCTAATGAGTTACAGCCTGCAGTGTGTGGGACGACAGTGAGGCTGGCACTGGGAGCAAAGAAGAGCAGGATATTTGTGGAATTAGTCTCTGATGGCCAAGCAAGTGTGTGTGTGTCAGTGTGTGTGTGTCAGACACAAAACTGAACATCAAAGCTGTAAAAATGAGTGTCGAAAAACTCTGATCTACTGACAAGAAAACGTGTGTATGGGTGTGTTTTTGTTGATGGACGTGTGTGTGTAGGAAGTAAAGAGTATGTCTTCTCTCACTGTGACTATGATGGATTCCCACAGCACACACACACACACACTGTTAATGACATCCCACAGTGACCAAACACGACCACCTACAGAGTTCACACACACACACACACACACACACACACACACACACAGTTTGAGTCACCTCTTTTCTTTACATCTAGTCGACCAGATCAGACAGAGGATGTGAAATAATGACCTTGATAACAGGATTGTTTTATTATTCCAACTGCTTTTAACAATAAGGTCAAACACAGAAGAGTCTCCGTCGTCACATGACTGGGCCCTGGTTAGATACTGGCCAACCACAGCCTCCGTTAGTGAGGGTGACACAAAGACGTGTCAGGGTTTGGTAAATGAACAAACTCCTCTGACGGTCAGGACAACAAAGAACCACATGAAGATATCAACCAATCAAAAACAGGAGCTGGATTAAAAAAAAAAAAAAAAACGAACCTGGTCGCAAAGTTTGATTACGTGGGAACCAGAGAAGTAGAACATTACCACAGCAGTGTTCTGACTTCTTATTGACCTGCTTAGACATCTGAGGCCGGAAATCCAACAGAATGGTCTGTGTTACAACACAACACCAAGATACAGTAGGTGTTGGAGCGGTGCTACAGTGATGGTGTCAGCATTTCCTTTTCCCCGTGGAGAGAAGAGGAATCTAAAGTGAGTCCTTCATTTCATACGTCTTCTGTTTTATGCTCTTATATTCCATTGGTGAATTTAAACAGTACTTTGTCGTTACGCCTCGATTGGCTCCAAGATAAGATGCGAGGTAGACGTCGGCCAATCAGCTGCCATCAGCTCCGCCTCTTGACTTCTTACGTCAACCTGCTAATCTTTCTGTAGAGCAGAGGACGTTACACCTCCACGGCCCCGTGGTGTGGCGGCTCATTTCAGCTCCGGTCCTGGATAATCTTGTGTCACCCAAATTACAGCAGCAACAGGAAGTGGTGGTGCCTGACTGCGTGTCTGTGGAGCTAATGAGTTACAGCCTGCAGTGTGTGGGACGACAGTGAGGCTGGCACTGGGAGCAAAGAAGAGCAGGATATTTGTGGAATTAGTCTCTGGTGGCCAAGCAAGTGTGCGTGTGTCAGACACAAAACTGAACATCAAAGCTGTAAAAATGAGTGTCGAAAAACTCTGATCTACTGACAAGAAAACGTGTGTATGGGTGTGTTTTTGTTGATGGACGTGTGTGTGTAGGAAGTAAAGAGTATGTCTTCTCTCACTGTGACTATGATGAATTCCCACAGCACACACACACACACTGTTAATGACATCCCACAGTGACCAAACACGACCACCTACAGAGTTCACACACACACACACACACACACACAGTTTGAGTCACCTCTTTTCTTTACATCTAGTCGACCAGATCAGACAGAGGATGTGAAATAATGACCTTGATAACAGGATTGTTTTATTATTCCAACTGCTTTTAACAATAAGGTCAAACACAGAAGAGTCTCTGTCGTCACATGACTGGGCCCTGGTTAGATACTGGCCAACCACAGCCTCCGTTAGTGAGGGTGACACAAAGACGTGTCAGGGTTTGGTAAATGAACAAACTCCTCTGACGGTCAGGACAACAAAGAACCACATGAAGATATCAACCAATCAAAAACAGGAGCTGGATTCTACTTTAGAACATCTTTTACAGACAATTTTTTTTTTGTATTTTTCTTTTTTTAAAAAAAAAAAAAAAATACGAAATTTATGTTTCTACTGGGACAAAAATGTGAGCTCCTCAGAGGTGAGAACGTGTTTTGACCTTTGCTCACTCTGTCACACACACACTCACACACACACACACACAGAGTCCCAGTCAGCACAGATGGCCGTGCCACAGACCTCTCCTCACCCCCTGCACTCTGTCCCACTGCCTCTATAATTAATGTTTGACTCTTGCTCTGAGTTTGGCAGCAAATCAAGGATGTGTGCTTTTCATAAATATTTACAGAAATGTCCGTGAAATTTTTCACACACACGTCGGAGGACACGACAGCACAGAGAGCTTCCTGTCAACACACTCCATGAAGGAGGACGAACAGGAAGCGTTAAGAATCTCTTCCTCTGCAGGAACGAGAGCGGGGCTTTGATTAGACTGTCCCAATTTAGGGAGCTCAGTCTCAATCAGGCTACGTGTGTGTGTGTGTGTGTGTGTGTGTGTTCAAGCAACTCTTTGAGGATTTTCTTGCTGTAAAAACTCTTTTTCCAGCCCCAGTCCTGGTTTCATGTTGAAGGTAGGAGGTTGACTAAGACTCAGTAACCCGTCATTAACTGGTTGGGCTACAGCTACAGACAAGGCTTTAATGAAGGAGACGACGTGGAAAACATAAAAAAGAAAAAGTATGAATGAATTCTCCTCATCAAAACTAGAACCTGGAAATTAGTTAGCATACACAGCTCTTAGTCACCGCCTCTGAGACCACTGTGAGAGTAGAGCATTACAAATATGATTTAAACTAAGGGTGTCAAACATACGGCCCATGGGCCAAACTCAGCCCATTTCGGAGTTCAGTCTGGCCCGCATGATGAATTTTGAATGTAAGTTTATGTTTTGTAAAATTATATTTCATTAAATATGTACATAGTTTAATATCAAGTTTATTATGTGCATGAAAACAAACGGGGAAAATATTTAAAAGATTATAGGTAATTATGATATGATTGTACTAGTCCCGCCCACCTGACATCTAATTACCAACCCAAATGAGTTTGACACCCTGATTCAGTCAGACGAACGACACAAAATAATCTCTTCAATTCATTGTGACCTATGAGAAACATCTGAGTGTACAACAGTACTGCTGAAACACAGCAGAGCCTCAACCTGTTCAAAATAGTGTATTTGTCAAACACCCAAACCTGGGACACATTTACCACAGCCACATCAGCTGATGTGCCGTTTATGCATCCTCTTCCTTTTAACAACTTAGGTAAACAAAAACAGTCGTGGCTTGTAAGGAATTAGTTCATGTTGCACAAGACTTGGAACAGTATTTTCAGCAGAACGGCGTGTTTACACCAAGTGTGGTACAGCCTTCCAGTCCAACCTGGAAGTGTGGTTCAAAACAAACACAGTCCATTTTTACAAACCCCAGTGACCACCCTTGGTTTGGAGTACAACTAGTCCAAGGTTTGGTTATACTAAAATGAACCAGAAAATGTGGAGCTCTGTGGTTCATTTCTACATGAATGACTGGATAGATCACTGGACAGTCCTTCAGTTTAGGGACGGTTTAGGGACAGTCACTGGACAGTCCTTCAGTTTAGGGACAAGGACGGATATAAAAACAGACAACACACACAGTCAACTCACACCTTTGCTCCATTTACAGCAGTGTCTCATTAACCCAATCATGGAAGCTTTAGCTGGAGGAAACTGTCACTGTACCAGTGGAAAACCCACCCAGAAACCCTGTAGGTCAGATTTTAGGAACCACCAGGTCACTGCTGACATGCCACAGTAACAAAGAGGCAGACATAACCTACAGAGCACTGATCAATCCACAACTCATTTAGTGACACTAATGTACAGTTTGTCATAGGTCAGATATTTTCCTATTCTGGGTTTTTACACCACCACCTGAACTACTGTTCTTCTCTGTCTGTCTATAGCTGTGGTGTCAAACATCTGGCCTGCAGGCCAAAGCTGACCCACTAGCAGGTGTAATTATGTGGCCCCTGAACCTGTGTGAAATGCTGGACATTAGGATTTAGTTATGAGTTAAAGGCAGTTCTGCAAAGTAAAAAACTTGCATCATGTCTGTCTCGTCCATTCATCCACACACACACACACACACACACACACACACACACACACACACTGTGTCAGTGTTGTACTCACAGAAAAGCCTGCCCAGAAGGGACACGAGTGCCTGACTCTGGGTGATGTGGTCAGGGCCAGAGCCGCGAAGCTCACGGCCAATATCAGGCTCCCCAGCACCATCTGAGAGACCCCCAGAGTCAGCATGATCCTGGTCCGTGTTCGGTACTCCCTAAGCCGGGACAGGCTGCGGGACAAAGACGCGGGGCTCAGAGAGCCGGGGCCGGTGACGCTGCTGCCACCGCGGGGCAGCGCGTTCACCCGCGGCATGGTCACTGACAGATCCGTGGGACTGCACCAGAAGGAACTAGCATCCAGCAGAGAAGCACCGGTCAGTCTGTGTGCGCAGAGAAAGACGCAGTCAGTGTCCGGTGTGAAGAACCTCAATCCTCGGCCAGAGATGCTGCTGATGCTGCTGCCGCATGCGGTGGAGGGAGAGGGCTGTGAGAGGGGGCTGCGCACAGGAGCGAATCTATTCACCACAACACACACGCACTCTCAAAGTAGAAAGTGATTTTCTCCAAACTGACGGAACAAACAGCTGCAGGTTCGTCTCCGGGATGATAGCCTTGGCTCCGAGCCCGAACGCGGGATGATAGCCTTGGCTCCGAGCCCGGACGCTGAAAAACACCATCGTCCTTTTCCTCCTCCTCCTCTTCCTCCTGGTGCTGCTGTCAGCCAACCTGAACCATTGTCATCAGCTCCCGCAAGAACACATATGCCGATTATTACCTCGATTAATCAATGTGATGTTTGCTCCGGAAAATGCTGAAAATGTCGATTATAATTGACTAATCGTTAAGTTCATCTTTGAATTGCGCAAAATTTCAAATATAGTCCGTGTAATTTCAGAGTCCCAGAGAAACACATTTAAGAACTCGGTTTGTATTTCTTTAAAAAAAAAACAACAACCCACCACTAACATGGATTAACGGCAGTCCAAATCGATTAAAAATCGACATATAAATGGTTTACGGTCGGATTGTTGCAGTCCTGCTGTCATGATCTCCATCCACACTCCATGCCTGGTGAACCTGCCTCTGGAGATGACGGGAAATGAAAGAACCTCGCTGGAGTTGGACCACACGGCTCTGGATTTTTCGGTATCTGAGCCCGTGGAGGTCGGCGGTTTAAACCCGCATCAGCAGCTCTTCCTGTGTGTGTGTGACATCCAGCAGCAGCAGACGCACACTGCGCACTGGAGATGTGCCACTCTGTGCGTCTGCATGGCGACGAGCTGCAGCCGCACGCACCACTTTACTACGACACTGGAGGAGGAGGGGGAGGAGGAGGAGGAGAAAAAAAGAAAGGGGGTTTACACCGATCAGGCAACGTGTGCTGCTGGGAGTGTGCAGTGATGAGAAGTCACATCCTCACCTCCAGGACGCAGCAGGAAAATCATCTCACCTCGTGTCCGTGTGGAAACGGGGGCTGCAGTCGAGCTTCACGTGTTACCGCTCCAAGCTCTGTAACATCCGCCCGCACACGTCAGGTGTTTGGGTCCCCCCCCCCATCACTATCCTATTTTTGTTCCACAAAATGAGGCGTCAAATTGCGTCAGCGTGTTTACACAGGCCAGTCTCTTTGAGAGATCTCAACAAACAAACGTGCAAATAATCAGAATAATGACGGCTGCGTTCAATTTCACTGATTGATCTCGGTTCGTCTCTGCTCACTGATCTCTGATCAGTGATGTAATCAACCACAAATAAATATAATAATAATAACATTCATAATAATAGTCATAGTTACTATGAAGATTGTTATTATAATTGGTATGTTTATGTTTTATCCACCGTAGATTTCTGCACTTCTGACCTTGTTCTGCACTCACAGAGCTCTCTACCTCCACCTCGTGGCGTAAGTTGACCAGTGCATCCACAATAATCGACCAAAATCTCATTCATTTCTGTTTCTATTGTGGTTTCTTTGTTACTGTTTCATCAGCATTCCACTCTTATGTGGTTCTCTCCCAAATGTATTCTTTTTCTTTGTTTTTGCTGTTTGTTTTATTAGAGAAACTCATACATAGACAATAAAAGAACATACAAACTCCATACAAAAACACCATCATGCCAATTCTCCGTAATGTCGCTTTCATTTTTCTTTTTTCGGTTCTACTCCATCATATGCAATAACTTTTTTTTTCTTTTGAGTCCTGCAGATTCTTTCATCCTTTCCAGTTCATTTGGACAAACTGTAGCCGCAGTCTTTTGACAGAAAATTCAAGCTGCTGCTTAGAACACCCTCGGATGTGGCTAATCTTACTTTTGTATTTGTGTCTGCAGGTTGGCTGTACACAACAAAAGTCATCAAGTTAAAGTGTTAAATTTTTTTTTTCAGAGAATGGCTTTAATTACAACCCAATTAAAAAGGACAGAAGTTAGCATGGCAAGGAAAAAAAAACATTTAACCCCCCCCACAGAAACTAAACTAGTAACAAATGATGCAACAGATCTTTTTTTTCTTTGAAAATGACTTTATTAATACAGCGGTATACTTTAAACTGTGTTGTAGAGGAGAAAAAAAAAGTCAGCCACATGTGAAGAGCTAATATCCAAGTAAAGCAGTGTTATATCTAAAAATAAAAATGGTACTGGTGTGCCATACGGAATATATTGTCTATTAGTACAAAAATACATTTAAGGGCACACAATACAGCATCCAGTATCACAAATCGGTGAGGGGAAAACTCACATCATTTCGGGGAATTGATGAAGTTTTAAGTCTAACTTAGTCCAAGTCCTTTTTCCTGATCCTTAAATATTAACAAAAGATCTTTTACTGCAACTTTATACTGAATAGGTCTAAAAAGAAAAACCTTTTGTGTTTATTGTTAGGTTCCAAGTTCCAAGGCTCGAGGGGTTCATCTGTGTTCACTCGATTCACTTTTTCAAACATGTTTTCCTCTAGGTTTTATACAAAAAAGAAAATGACGTACAAAAAGTTCATTTACAAACCAAAGACACGAACAAGGCAATGTGCTAACTTTATTTACAGACACTTCTTTTTCCATATTTGTGTGTGTTTGACTTAATGCATAGCAGATAAAGTATAGCAAACCTTCGTTATTCTCTGCCAACCGTTACCGTCAGATCAACCCAGGTTTATTTATACAGAGGGTTCACGTAAAAATAACATGGCCGAAACAAATCACAGAAATTTAACAGGACTTCTTTTTCTCCATGAGGAAGAACGAATAAACTGCAGATAAGGCATCGCTGCTCATTTGTGTATGAGTGCAAAGAAGAGAGTGGAGATAAAGGGATGCAAATAAGGAGGTGAGGAACAGGAGGAGGGGACTGAACCCGAATAAGGAACATGCATAGATCTGCCTCAGGCTGGAAGGAGAGAAGCGGAAACAAAAACAAAAGAAATGCTACAAGTTGTCACTGCAGGCGAAGGAAGAACTAAGAAAGGAGAGATGTTTTCTAAAAGTGTGCTGCTTGGGTTCACATCCAGCTCAAACTGCAAAAACAACTTCAAGAAAGACCTGCAAACACCGCCGCCCTTTGGCTTCACTACAAACTTCTCTCAAACCTTCGCTGAAAACTTCTCTGTCTGAGAAGAGAAACGTGTGGAGACGCACAACGCCTGTTATTGTTGTTGTAATTAGAGAGTAAAAAAGTAGACTTGTTTTGTGGGTACAATTTTAAGTAAATGTTCTCTATACTACTTTACAGTATATGCATATATGGCATAAATATTAGTGAAGCATTGACGCTCATCCATTCTTCGATATTCATGTAAAAAAAATTACATCAAACACAGCCTTATACTTCATGTGGATCCTCAGAGGTGTGTCAGGGGAGGAGGCATGCAGTAAATGTGTGTCACATCAACACTTAATATTGGGCGGTAAAAAAAAGTTTGTTTTTTTTTGTTTGTTTTTTTTAAGAACAGCTTGTAACGGTCTTCAATAGTCCTGCCTTCATGTGTGGGCTCCAGTAAACATCACGGCCCGGGTGGTCTCCATACTTCATGTGTTGTAGGGTCTTCATTTTATCCACTGGTTCCACATTCCTCTCCATCACAACAGCAGAGCTCTCATTAAAAGTGGTCAATGAGCACAGAGACACAGTTGGCTCCCACCAGGTAGTTGGGGTCTCCAGGGAGGGACTTGTTCTGCCAGCTTTTGGGGTCACCTGTAGAAGGGAGAGGCAGATTGGATAAATAACAAAAACCTTCACATAAAAGAAGTCTTCGTCTTCATCACACAGTTCTACTGTTGTCCACACGTCAGGATGAGAGACTCTGCACATTTGTGGACTATATCCAAGCACAATAAACTGATCAACACAGTGTCATTCCTTTATTGATACCCTCAATCCACTGTCGACTTCAAATTAAATCCCGAGTGACTGTCGTCTCAGCGTAATTGCAATTATAAACACACAATTCTGTGCCAGGAGCAAAGTTCCAGTCATAAATCAGTGTTAGTAAATGCAGCTTGGCAGAGGTCCACTGATGGAGTAAAGACTGCTGGAACCAAATGTGACAGTGAATATATGAGACGCCTTATTGAGACGGAGTGTCGATCTTTTACTGGTGCTACGTGAAGGAGGCTGGGTAATCAGAGAAGAATATGCACACGGCGTTGTTTTTATGACAAATAAAGGAAAACATTTCCCAAGACTGGAATGTTTTCATAAAGTCTTCAGGTTCCTTTAACGCTCTGCTGCTGATTCTACATTTTATCCTCAATCTTTTTTTTTTTTTTTACAGTATTTCTAACCTCAGTTTCCATCCCTTTTGTTGTTGTTTTTTTTTTCCCTTTGCAGTATGAGGCTGTTGTTGGGTTCATTCCTTGGTCTTGTATTGGGACTATATTTTAGTAAGTATTGGCACATTTCTTCTGATTTTTACTAGTAATTTATTGGACATTTATTGGCAGTTTATAAATGACTTACGGTGGTTTGCACATGGGGATAATGTTGTTGGTATCCCTCTGTTAATGAAAGTAAAACCAACAATGGGCACTGAAAGAACTTGCACTCAATAAAAGTAATAATAAATAAAATGGTTGTGCAAAAAATTATCTTTTAGGGATTATCTTAAGGGTACCTCTATTTTTGTCCAGGCCAGTTTCATTAGTTTTTTTTTAATGATTCAGTTAAAGCACAATTCAAAGACAATGTCTGAATTTTATTGGTCAATAAATGGCCAGTATTTTTATTTTCTTTTATTTCAGTGACCATTGTTGGTTTTCCCTTTCATTAACAGATGAGTAGCAACAATGATGTCTGTTTGTTCTGGTTTAGATATTTTTCTTAGAAGACAATTCAGCCATCTAGTTGGAACCATTCTGTGGCTGAAGACATGACCGAGCTGATTCTCTGGAGCCATTCAAAGTCCATACAGAAAGACCATTGGATGGCACTGGTAATCAGAGTGATGATCCTATTGTTGTTAGGTCAAGAGCACTAACCACATGTCATAGTTCAGACAAAGTTATAACATTGCTGAATTCCAACTGTCAGTTTTCAAAAGAGAGCCTAATAAACTCTAAGGAGAGGCAGAATGATTTAGAGTTTTGTAAACAGCAAAGAATAGCAGAGAAACAGAGAATCAAAGGGGAGAAGCCACAGGGGGAGACAGGAAGAGGCAAGAGGAGGCTGGGAGAGTGGCCTTGCTTTACAATAAGAGGATTAAGAAGCTGCCTGATAATCCTGCTACAATTTAGCTGGACAACGCAGCGAGGAGACAATTCATTCAGCCCCACCAGTCTCATCCCTAAAATGAGGCTAATTAGCAGCTAATCCTGAACGTGGACAAAATGACTCCTGCTTTTGCAGGCAGGGGCTGAGGAGGATAGCATTGCCATGAATTCATTACTTTCTCCTGCTTTGTTCTGCTCTTATTTTTAAATGAGCTCTGGGACTGTGTTAATTATTGGTTTGCTCGAAGGGCAAGTATGAAGTGGGGTTGTATGAGGTGCTGGCACATGGGCACTGTGGAAGCCACAAACATCCTGAGACACAAATACAGCTGCTTGACTCTGACTTGACTTTGTTTGTCAACTGTTTTCAACTGAAAAGCAGCAAATGGAGTAGATGTGTAAACTGAATCACATTTCTCACCCTTGACTCTAAAAGGCTGGAAATAAAAGATGTTGTGCTTCAATGACAAACCTGTATTTTCATGAATGACTTTGAGTGAAAGTTTTTCTAGCTAATGAAAACAGTCTCTAGTGTAACTGTTGGAATCAGTCAGAATCAGAGTTCTGTCGTCGCCAAAATAATGAAATGTTTTAATGTTGTCTCTTAGTGAAACCTCTTTCTTTTCTTTTTTTTTTTTGCAGTACGACAGCAGCTGTTGTTGGTTATGGCACCGCATCAGTTCCCGTTGTTCTGTTGCTGTTCTCCAGGTCAAAAATTTGGTTGGCTATGTGAGAAATTCCCAGCATGCACTACAAGGCTTCCTGTTAAAAATGAAATTTGCCATGCGTCTGCATCAAGTGTGTGAATGAAATAAAAAGTTAGGGTGAATGAGAGGTGAAAACTGAGAAGGAAATACTGCGCTAATTTAAAATGAATGAACACCACAGTAACAACACCAGTGACACAGCAAATGAGAGACTAAGCCGGTGAGTTAACTATTTTAAGAAAAAGGATGAAAAAGACTTTCCCCCAAGATTGATTCTGCAGCTTTTGGGGATGAATGGATTTGATCCATTGAAATGGAATGAGCAGAAAATCAAATCTCGGGGTAAAATCTCATTAAACAGTGATTCACAGTGTATCAATTGTCACACAGCCAGCCCAAACGACCCCGAAGAACAGAGAGCACAGCATACCCGACGAGGAGTCGGAGGATTTTAGAGCAAAAGACCAACCATCAGGGGTCATTGACGCACAGTGAGGTAAGCGCAGCTCCACAGGTTTCAGAAACTTGAGGCCGTGAGGTCCACACATCACCAGAGGGCTGAGCAGAGTCTCTCCTGGGAACACAAACAGGACACAGTCAGGCGGATTAAAGGCATTCACAGAGATTTGGAATATGAACTCCGTCAGGTTTGTTTTGACTTTAGAACAGGGGTTCCAAACTGCTGGCCCTGGAACCTCTTTGGTCTGTCAAGCCCCCACATCTGCCTTGTGATTAAATGTCAACAAAAAAAAACTATTTATACTGTTTGCTCTGTAGTATTTTACAGTATTTTATATGATAAAAAGTAATACTGTATTGTCTTAACACTGATGTGGCCTTTCAATAGTGAGAAAAAAAACTTCAGTCCCTTTGTTTCTAAAATTCAAAGTTTTACCTTTCTCTTTGTCGAGCGGGGGCAGGAGGCTGTTGTCTCGGCAGACCTTGAAGTAAATCTCCTGCTCCACCCCCTCAGGGATTGCCCCCTGTGGGATTATTATGCTGACACCAGTCTCAATGGAGCTCAAGACGCCGCCGTTAGAGTTGAAGATACCACGGGCTGTTGCAACTACAGTGTGGCCTTCATCTTCGTCTTCATCGTCATCCAGAGCACTGGGGCTGAAAGACAGGAACACGCAGTTGTGGTGTTTTTACATCCAACTGACAAGTCCTTACTCTGGTGTGAGTTTGGTCTCAGGTTGTTGTTACCTCACAGGGATGGCCTTCGGGACAGCAGTGATGTTGTTGTTCTGGTACTTGGAGCGATGGTCCATGGTGCGGGTGAACGTGTCCACACCACTATCGTGGTCTAAGTTCTGGGTCTGTGGTGGTATCTGGGGCTGCTTTACTGGGCTGGAGCTTACACCCTGTTGGGAACAGAAAGCCAAGGAAAACCACATCTCAAGGTCTGAACCTAATTTTTAAAGGTGAAACCCTGAATTCTGATGTTAACAATAAACCAGAATGAAACAAAAGTTTAAAACCAGAAAACAGCAATAAATCCACAATTTACTAAAAAAGTTTAAAACCAGAAAACAGCAATAAATCTACAATTTACTAAAAAATAAACTCGTAAATCATCTTGCAGCATTTTAACAGTAGTAAGCAGGTTGGTAATTAACCCCTGATTACCTTTGGAGCAGTGTCAGGCTTGTCATTGGGCAGAAGGTTGTGGTTGAACTTTGGACTGTCAAACATGCGTGAAAAGGGCTTGGCAGATGTAGTGAATGGCTTGGTCATGAAGCGGTTGTACGTGGATGCTGGTGGAGCCCCGGTGCTAGTGAGTGGTTTTGTGGGCTGTTCACTTGTGCCGTTAACTGGGGACTTCTCCGGATAACTCTTATGGGGCAGGAAGTTGGTCTGGACAGTGTCCTCGCGAGCAGGAGGCTTGACTGTGGAAGGGTCACAGATTTTGTTGTTGAGACAGTCGTGCTATTTTATAGATACTTTATACAGCAGGCAGGACAAGATTGTAGCCCGGAGTCAAATTCCAATAAGGCAAATCAAACTTCTCACAATCAGAAATATAAATAAATGTGAATACTGTGAAACATCTTTGTTAGTGTATTATTATTATAAAACCTGTCTTGTATTGTAATGGTACTGCTGTATAAAATGTCTGTAACACGAAAAAAAATCTGAATCACTCTTACCTTCGGTTGAGGGTTTAGGCAGTGTGGCTGGTGGCAGAGGTGGAGTCACCTGAGGAACAGGTTCATGTTTTTTCTCCAGTAGACTTGGTATCTCCCCTGATTCCGTCCTGTATTAAAACAAACAATTTTTAAAAAATATTAGTTTTATTCAAAAAGCTTAGAAAAGTGAATGTGGAGCTAGTTCTTACCTTGAGAAGTTGTGTGTTATTTGTGCTTGGGGTTTGTTTGGTCCAGTTTGGAGCCGGTCAAAGTAAGACAGCTGTTTCCTGTAGTAGTCTTCATCTTCGTCAGGGTCGTAATGGTTGGAGCGGACAATATCATCGGCTCCTTTAGTCTGAGGCTTCTGTGGCTCTGTAGCTCTGAATTGGTGGATGAAGATGTGAGATGAATGTTAAGAAATGAACTGAGATATTGTGTGTATCCAGATGTGAGATGAATGTTAAGAAATGAAGTGATATATTGTGAAATTTCATGGGGATATAAAACACACAGTAACTATGGCACAGACTTAAGCTCAGACTTTACCGATATGCCTTATCTTGATCCAGGTTGCTCAAAGAATTTGCTTTAGGAATTACTCCCCCGCTCTTCAAGGGTAAATCTGCAGCCTACAAGGATGAAATTAAAACAGTGCTATTCAATAAAAGTCCTTTGTTTCTTTAAACTGAAACAGTCATGAAACACTAAAAGACTGACCTTGTTGGCAGAAGACTCTCCTGCATCTCTGGCTCGGTCCATGGAGACTGAGCGTTTGTTCTCAAACATCTTGACCCTCGTCAGGACCGACTGCGGCTTCATGGCTGGGTCGTCCTCCGGTTTCTCGTCTCTGACAGGTGCAGATTTGGGAGCATCCAGAAGTGAAGGTGAGGAGTTTTCTGCTTTGGGAGGAGGTGTGGCGCTGGTGTCAGAGTTCACAGGAATAGGGTCATACTGCTGAGGTTTGTAGCCTTTCTGCTGAGGTGGTGGTCCCTGGTTATACGAAGGCCGCTGGGAAGTGGGTTCAGGAGAGCGGGCAGCAGCAGGGTATGTGGTCAGGAAAGAATCCTGATCGTAGTGTTTGTCCCGCCCTGGAGCAGGAGGGGGAGGATCATCGTAACGGACAGGCCCTGGACCTGTCGGTTTACCGAAGCGAGGCCGTCCATCATATCCCTGCTGAGGTGGAGGCTCATCATAGCGAAGAGGAGGGGTGTACTCAGGGTCAGGACCATCGTCATATGGTAGCTGATGATCAAAACTCTGGGAATTGGCAGTGCTTAGCGATTGGCTGTAAGGGTTCCATTGTTGCTGGTCATAGTGAGGCACACTGTTCTCAAATGGCAGGTTTGAGTCATAGTTTCGGTACTTTGGTTCTACGTAACCACCCGCACTGCTGACCCCACTGCTGCTGACATCATATCTGCTTGGAGGATGGTCATAATTTCTATATGGCTGTTGGTCAGGGTGATATCCCTGCTGAGTGTTGTAAGTCACAGGTTTCATCCCCTGACTGTTTCTCCCCATGGTGTCTTTGCTGAATGGATCCTTTTGCAACATCTACAAAAGAAAAGAAAAGAAAGGCTCAAGTGAACAAGATGCACAAAGACAAAACAGAGATGTTGAAAACATAAAATAACTTCAAGGCAGTAAAAAGATAGAAAGGTTTTAATTTAAGAACATTCCAAGATATTATTAATAGAAGAAGAGAAAACAAAAGGGAAAGACCTGAAATAGAGAAACTGAGATGTAGGTGTTACTGCTCAGGTTTACATTAGCTTTGAGAGAAGGTGCAGCAGAAACTCTTTTGTCTTAAAAAACCAGGGTAGTAGACTCCAAAATAAAATAAAATAAAGATAACAATATTGTTTTAAAATACAGCAAAACAGCAAGATATTTTCTTCCAAATCAGGGTGCTTACATTTTAACTTTATGAAAGTGAATAGAGCATTAGAGAAACATTAGATTAAAAAAATTATTGCATAAAATATTTTATAAATAATTCACTTTCACAAAGCAAATGTCACCTGCTGCCCTGATACGGACAAAAACTTAAAAATTCACATAAAAAAAAATACAGTACACATTTAAATCTTCACTTTAAAGCCGTATCCGTTAGTTATCCAACTCAAGCCTTGGCAACACATTACTACAAGACTTTTTTTAAAATAAATTGTTGGACAAGTAATGGATATTTTATGTCAACAAAGAAACCAACTCTTTAATCTAATCTGCTTATTACATTAACACAGTCAAAACAAGTCTATTTCTATGGATTCAACAAAGACTCGCAAACTTTTTGTAGCCATGCACAAAGAATAAGCAACAGGCAGCCAACAATTCCAGGCCCACTGTTGTTTATCCCAAATTAAAAGCACTTTGCCACGTGCACTCACGAACTCACAACATCTCAACAACACACACCAACACCCACATCTGTCTCTTCTGGGTAGCACTGGTCAGCAAACATGCAGGATGGAAGGAGAAAGAGAGAAGCATGGCAGCAGGAGGTAGGTAGACAGGAAGCAGCAGCAGCAGCAGCAGCAGAGGAGGAGGTCAAACCGAGCTGAGCTGAGCTGAGCATGGCCGAGTCACGCAGCATCCAGAGACGGCCTGAAGATACCTTTGGTTCAGAACTGGCAAATCCAGACTGTGGAGGTTCTGGTGTGACACTCTGATGGGTTAGCTCTGGGGTGGGCCTCCTCAGCGAGCCAGCCTCTAGGTTGGGGCTTGGCTGCCTGTGAGGAGCTGAAGAAGCCTCATCAGGGCTCAGAGCCCCTACAGTTTTTACAGTAACGTCGACAGCAGGGGGCACTGTCTCAGCCAGGGACTCAGGCTGCTGTGGGACACTAGGGGTGGCAGCGGCTTCTGCTTTCTGTGAAGTGGTTCAGAAATGTTTAATAACACGCACTGACAATCTACGATGAAGTGCTAAAAAGTGCTTCTACCTTCAAAAGCCCTTTTACATTGTTCTGCATCTCGCCTGTAACTACAGCTTACACTAATAGAAAAGAGCCCATCATGGAAACTGACGTCTAAGACTGCTTTTAAAAATTGATGCATGCATGGTAAAAGCATGCAAGAATTAGCAGCAGGACAACGTTGCTTTGTTTTACGCAACACTACTGTTATTTTAATTCTACAATTACAATGCAGTTCTCACTTTTCTTTTTTTATCTCATTATCACATTTTAGGAGTACAGATGTTTAGATTTGTGTATTACAACGGCCAATCAGATAAGGATAAATACAGTTCAAAGGTACACTGGATTAACATGCATTTCCAACATGCACATAATACTTTCTGGAGGGGTGGGCAGTGTAAACAGCAGACAATGTAAATGTTATGTTATGTTGCCTGCAGTGAAGACATTAATTATGCTTATGCTCTCCTCATCGGGTTCACACCAGTTATACTCCAAAGGATATTATCACAACACAGATTATTTTTGTCTATTGTTCAACATCCTGCTGCTGTTGTGATTTTAAGGCGGACCGCCCAGCTCTACTTTCTGGTGACACATCTTCACAGTTTCAGTCACAGGAAAAACAGAAGTACACATTAGAGAATACTGGTACAATCACTTGGACAAACTTTGCTCTTTTCACAGTGCCACTGGCAGGAGTCACACGGTAAAGACATCTTGTTGTTATACACAGTACAAGAGCAACAGTAAAAGTACTTCTTTACTAAAATAAAAAAAATACAGCAATCAACAGACACTTGGAAGGAAATAAATAGAATAAATATTATAAATATTGGGGTATATGTATAAATATATGTACATATACACTGCATATGCAGTTGTAATACTATGTCTAGAAATAATGTTGTTATTGCTGGACCACACAAGTGTGAGTACTAATACTGGTTTGTATAGAAAGTGAGAATATCTGTAAAGTTAAAAAAAAACACTCAATAGCGCTTCCAGAAAATCTTTCTAACACACACCGCGTCCTCCAAACAACAGGGGACGCGTACAGCTCTCAGAAACGCTACCTGCTGCGGCACTGGAACCTTGAACCCGGCTGGGTCGATGCGGTTCAGAGGATGTGGCTGCACCGTATGTGGGTAGCCGGAGTAGCCAGGGGGGTCTTGGATAACCGGTGAGTCATCTCGGACCGGCTCTGAAGATCGGGTGATGGCAGGCTCAATGGGTGGACCCACGTCATCGTTGAGTGTCTCGTCCAGCTCTTGGTCAGTGTAGGCTCCGCCCTCTGTGTCCGTATCCTCGTAGTCTGAGGTGTGGCGGCTATCGGTGCTGTACATGGAATATTCACTGCCTGGTGCTGACAGGTATGACAGACGGTCATCGTGGATGTCCAGGTCATCCTCACCTGCACCATCAGCCTGAGTAAAAGACAGAGATGGCATCACTTATTGTGTTTTTTTCTTTAACAAACAGAACACAGAACATTTTATTTTCAAGATGTATTGAACATATGAAGGCCTAATTTAATCCAAATTAAAGCTTTTATTTCTCCTTTTATGTTAAGTAAAAACATAGTTATGTTTTTATAATGATGCAAAATTATTTGCTCTAGCACACTGCTTTTGATGATTTACAACTGTAATGTAACTAATTTGTCAATTGCCTTTAGTTGTCATTTGAGTGACTCACTCACTTCTATTTTTTAGGTATTTGAGGTATTTGAGGTCAGTCTTACCTTGCCCTCTGAAACCCACACCAGCTGGTTCTGCTGCTGCTGGATGGTCTCTTTCAAAGCTCCAAACCAACCATCATTCATGCTGTTCAAGTTAATAGTTGCTGCATTCACAAAAAAGAAGAGGGGCAAAATACAAGGAAACAGCTTTTCAATTATACAATTAGTATACATGTCCAATACATGACATAAATAAGTTAAATATTTCACCACAGTGACATTACTTGGAGTTTGGCCATTAAAGAGAACAGGTATTTCAATTGTTGTACAGGGTAAAACCAGAGGCTTATTACTATGATATAAAGATATATTTAAAAAACTTCATAAAATCTTCCCATCTCATGCATGAGGCTATGAAGAAGCACTTGTCCAGGGCAGTCCGGACCCAACTTCTCTTAATAAGAAAAACTAAACAATAGATATGTGAACAAAAAACTACAAAGTGGATGGATTTTTAATGCTAACCGGTGTAGTATTCTGTCCATAAGGAACTTTAAATTGAATTCCCTCCACTGTTCCTCTCTCATTTTTTACTCACTCCTGTCCTGGACTCACTTGTAAAGAGATGATGGTTGCTTTTTCTCAATTTGAGAGCTCGATCATAGAGTTTCCTGGCACTTTTCCTAGACTCGGGACAGAGGCGGGTCCTCATGCTCTTGACGCCCTGTTTGTGGTCAGGGTTAAGAAACACCACAATAGGATACCACTGTGCATAGTTCAGACGGTCCACTGCATTTGGGGTGATGTCCAGCACTGCATGTTTGTCCTTTATGAACAGAAAACCACAAAAAAGAGATATGTGATTTTTGTTTTCGTCAAATTTTAAAACAAAACACAATCCTCATCAGACACTTTATATATTACATGTGGCTGTTTTGTACAGAAAAGAAAAATAAGAAAAGCACAAAAGAAAAAGGAAATAAAATGTTCGACTGTTCACATTCAGAAAATTATTTATAAACTTCAAGGTTAACAATGCAGTTAAAATTGCATATTTGGGTTAAATAATATATGCTAACTTTTACTAGACACAATGTGCACAGAGTAATAAAATATACAGCAGATTCTGAACTCATGCCCTCAGGTTGTCAGTCAAATAAAGTGGTGATGGTACACCAGATGGCAGCAGTGGACATTTTTTCCAGTTCAGCGCTTTATTGTTTTCTTCCAGGAGATCTTCCAAATGTTATTTACATTTGAATCGTTTGTATTGTTTTGTATCAGTGTGTGCATTTTCAGATTTACTCACTCGATCAATGATCTGTTTAATAGTGTGCAGGCGAATGATGCCAGAGTTTTTCTGGTCCGTCCCTGCATCTCTGGGTTCACTCTCTGTGGAGGATATATTATTTCATTAGCACAAGGGAAAAACAACAGCAATAAACATACTGTGCACCAATTACACATTCTTCCAGTGTGCAGTTGTCAACTCTGATAAATTAAAGCTTTGAATACAGTCTAATCTCCACACAGGAGAGGACAAGGGTACGTTTGTAGTAACAGCCATAAAACTGTATCAAAAAAAAGAACAGCCAATCCATGCAAGTCACCAGGTAGGGTGGGTGGGAAATTTTAAATATTGCATTATCACTTTTGTGCATGCAGGTATGTAACAGTATAAACTGCATTGCAGAAAATGTGTAAACTGGGCAACACTAAAAACAAATTGCACAAAAAAGGGCAAGAGATTATCACACTTTCAATTAGAAAACAGTGTCAGTCTAGACCTGTGGAAAGTGAGTGAGGGCCTGTGAAGGGTTTAATGACTGAAACATAAATATGTCATGCCTAAAAATAGGAATAAAAACAGGGCAATCCCTTCACCACCATTTTCTATAATGTGACAAATTAGAATGTACTTTTTAATTATTTTTTATGCATTACTTGTTGTATATTTAGGATGTACAAGGGATCCATAGCTATACAAGAGGGTTCTAAAGAACAGATGCACAAAGCCATGCAAGCAAGGGGTCAAGCATGTGCAGCAGTAATTAAAATGGAAAACGTGGAATTACAAAACAACTATTTTTGCTGCAGTCAATGCAATATATTTCTCTGAAAGGCTGTGTTTTTGTTAATAACAAGACAAATAATCAAACTACAAATTTGATTTATTAAATACTTAACTCACTAGGTTAAACCCTCTAATAATGAATGCACAAGCACATTTAATTAAATTCAAACATGTTCAAATTAGTCATAAGGTAGAAATATTTCAATGTAGTGTTCAAATAAAGACACTCCTATTAAAATTTGAAAAATGTGAAAACTCCAGTTGGAATACTTGTTTATCAGATTAGTACTTTTTGTATTACAATACGGTTTTATCTTTCGTATAGACCAAAACAAACAGGCACAGTAAAATGCACAGTGTCTCATGCTTGTTTGCTGATTTTATTTTTTTTAAATGCAACCTGACCTGAGGTGGGGAACAACCCTGCACTTAACAACACATCATTTTCATTTGCAGTCTGATTTACATCTGACAACATTTACTCACTACCAATAGAGATAGGAACAAGGCAAAACATCACATTGCCTCACCAGCACCTGTTTTACTGGTTTTTAATTTACTCCCATTATAGTGGAAATGTGTTTGACCTTCTTGTGATGGCAAATGGAAAACTGTTAAATCCAGTGTCATTCCCCTGTATGCATTAACGAGACAATGGCTATTGTACAAATAAGACAGAATAGGCAGCTCGATACTAAAACACTAGTTAACAAATCATCTGCCATTCAGTCAAATAAAACAGAGATATTGATGCACTTTGTGACATACTTTCACCTCCTTGTTGTTTCTGTGTTTCTGGAAAGAAAATACAGTTATATGATATTTTCATATATATATCTAATTATTCAGTCACAAGTATATATTACATATATATATATAATATTTTAATTTCTTAGTTAGTAACAGTAGTTAAAAGGTGTGTAAAAATACAAGGGCTTAAAGAACAGCCTTGGAGAGTATTAATCTACAATCAAATGAGAAGCTTGTCAATACTACTGTTGTCTTTAGTTAGTTAACATTAAAACTACAGTAAGAGTAAAAATTAGTATATTGAGTATTAAACATTGATAAATGCCAACAAACCAAAAGGCATTTCAAAGAATCTCTAGAAGAGATACATATTATGTTAACAAGATCTTAGATCAGTTGAGTTGAGTTGAGAGTTTGCAGTTCTCTGGTGCCACAATTGGACTTTAGGCCACAGAACAGAGGCATTAAGTCAATAGTGATTTCGGCCTCAATTTGATCTAAAATCCAGCTGTGAATATTTAATGAGTAGATAAACAGCTCTCAGCTTAGATGAGATTTGATGCATGAAGAGGAAGTCAATCAATCAATACAAGACAAACAGCAGAAGAACAACAGGCCAGTGCAAAACATTATGATCATCAGGAATAATTGGAGCTGTGCATTTATCCACTTACTTGCTAGTTCAAAAATGTCTGGCTCCTGTCTGGCTAGTTTCTCTCTGGCCACGTCTGCAATTGGGCCGAAGATGACCACTGGCCTCAAGAACCCAGCTGCACAAAAACAGGACAGTTGTGTTGGGTTACCAAGTGTGAGCACAGTTTTACAATAATGTTATAGTAGAGTGTGGTCGTGATATGTTCATTTTAAATCAGACACACATCAAACTTGGAGGTTCCCAAAATGGGGGTCGTGTATGTTTGCAGGGGGCGAACGATTAAGGTATACTCAAGCAATGTCTGCATATATGTTCACCTTGTTACTGCACCCAGCAAAAAAGAAAACACGATAAGGCAACTGTGGCCGACATAAAACTGTAGTTAAGGTGGAGTAACCACAGTGTGATGTACAGTATGTCTAAAAATACAAGCTGCTGGCAGTCTGACACAGAACAACTAAGGACAAATTCGAGACAACACGTCCTGAACACAAGGACAAATCAGTGCATTTTTTAAAAAGACTGACAAACCGTCATGCACAACTGAGTCTCTGTATAAAAGCTAAAATGAATACGTTCTACGCTTACAGAAAACAAATTCCTTAGAATCTGTGCTGTGATACTTTACCTTCTCTCAGCACCACTCTCTCATAAGCTGGGAACTTGGTCTGTACTGGCTGAGCAGACAGGTCTTCCCTGCTCTTTCGCAAATTTCTCTTGGAACTTCTCAGTCCTCGGAATCTCCAGAAATCTGCTCTATCTCCTCCTGGTGTCTTTGGAAGGGTATACTGCACACTGGATAACTGTTCAGCTCTACACAGGAGAAAAAATGAATTTGCATTAATAATAGATTTCTTTTTAAGTAATGATTAAAAACACTAAGTCCATTATTACAGAACTAGTAGCTAAGCCGGAGTGTTTATCCCTGATTTTAGGTCAAACATTAAAAACTATATACAACATATATGTAACTTGTGGTATGTGATACAAACACCTACTCTGTCTTTACTGTCAGCGGAACAACAAGGGAGGCTGTATAACAGCGTGTATAAAAACTGCTGTAACTCCTTCAAGGCCACTGCAACAGACTGAGTTGAAGCCATGCCTGAGGCCAGACAATGATTTACAATGCATTTCAAATCTTCAGACACTGAGGGCTCAGAAAGTCTTTTCAAAGCTCACTGTAGACTGTTTTTAAACAATTTACGTGACACTTGGGAGACCTTGAATACTGTAAATCCTGCTTTAAAAGCACTCTTGTTTATTACTGTTATATAAGATGATAGACACCAAGATTTTGCTAAAACACTGCAGAAAAAAATGTGATTAATTTCTCGAGGCACAGCACATAAAAATAACCCTAACTTACCTTCACCTATTCATGAAAAACCAAAATTATATTTATAAAAGATAAGAACTTAAACATTCTTTACCTGTTCTTGTTAGGGATAATGCCACGCTCCACTTCATGATGGTTCTTTCCAATCCTGATGGCGAGCCAGGAACCCAGTTTTCCATTGTAAAGTGTGTCGACTACACGGAACACCTCGCCCTTGTTAAAGCTCAGGCCATAAGGTGACTCTTTCTCATATTCAAAATGCGTCCGAATGTAGAACGAGTCGCCAACATCTGATTCCACGATCCTTCGATACACTGAATTTAAAAAAAGTAACCAATCAGAGTTATTATTATTATTTTATATTTGACCCTTGTAAAACAATGCTTCATACTCTCTTCTGCCACCTACCATCCTTTTTTTTCTGAGCCAGAATAGTGACTTCGTCTCCCTTGGGGAGATCCAGTAAAAACAGCACTGCTTCCTCTCGGATAATGTTTGCAAAGTCCACATTGTTCACCTAAACATGGTAAAGATAGCAGGTTTAATAATACAATTCACAGATGTATTTCAGATGTATCAAGACAGGCATGGGCCACAGCCCATCTACAGCCTGCGGGGCCGCATACGGCCCATTAAGCTTTATAATCGGGCCACTAAACTTGTCCAAATTATACTATCATT